CTTGGGACGGATGGCCCATCTTTGGAACACTTCTTACTGACCGTGGAGCCATGACCGTTATGTAAATTCACTTATTAATATCACTGCTACTAATCTGGTTTATTATAAATATAGTACCACCCATCCATACTGGCACAACTCAACTAAAATCAATAAATTCAGGAGTTCTGTGCCATCACCCTCATAAGTTATCGAAGAGTATGCCTATTGGTAATGATCTTCTGCAATTCGCACATGGTAGTGACTTGCAGTCGTGACAAGCGAATATGCATCCTAACCCTTGTAATTACACTTTATTAGGACAGCGTAGCAAGTGGTGTTTATTTCCGATGGGTATGACTGGTAGCGCTCGAACCACAGAGTAACTTCAGCTCTCGCGTTTTAGGTTTCCTCTCGCACGTGGCATTGAATTCTAGGAGGCCAAACGGATTTAGATGAGCAAAGAGCGTCTTATTTGCTATCAACTTAAGGGTTACGAATATCGAAATGTGGCCAAATCAGGTAGTCCTTCATGGGAATTTCAAGGAGTACAGAATTTATGCGATATTGGCTTTGTTGATTCTGTTGGACAAATCGCAGATGGTCTCTAATTCAACAAAGAAGAGCTTTTATGGCTCCCTTATTATAACAGCAGGTGGTGCTTGTTGCAATTATTACTGTCAACAAACAAGTCTAGTCGCATTTTGGTATTAGGCTGTAAGTAGTTAAATTGTATATAGGCCACTTTTTTATTGAGCCGGATATTCAAGGGTTATATCAGGTGTACCTGTGAGTGGAGTGAATGTGACGCGGTTGAATTGCTTCCACCTCGGCTTCACGCTAAATTAGCTACGCAGAACAAAGCGGTCGAGGTGCGAATGCCTACTCAAAAATGTGCATTTAGCCCTCCCTGAATAGTTAACAAAGCGTTTAAATGGGTTGCTGTGAAAGCTGTTGGAGTGCACTCTTCCAGAGATGCTACTCCAAACACCTACGTGCCACAAGAGGGTCCTTCAGCAAGTGGTCATTAGAACGAAGGTTTGAACGAAAGTCCCCAATTTTCGATTCAGGGCTGAAAATTGGGTTATCCTTCCTTGAGAAAAGTCAAACTTTTCAAGTAAGAAACTGCAATAGAGACGCCAAGCATTACCGCGATCCCACACTTCCGTGTATGGCACATGAATAGTTCCGAATAGAAATCCTCTGGAAACGTTGTCTGGGCTTTTCACCGTCCAGAGAAATGTACTCCGGTTGCTCTAAAAAAATTGATAAATAGACAGACCCACTTAATGCCTGAGAAGCACCTCACCTTGGAGTCACATTCTTCCTGACAATTACAGATCTGGATCGCAACTAACAGTAACACAAGAGAAAGTGTCCTCATCGATCTCTGCCCGTCATAGCCATATGGAAAGACCAACAGATCGGAAGTGCTCGACTCAGTGGATTGTAAGAAGAGTTTGCCAGCAGGGCAACAAGGGTCAGAGAGGATTATGTGGATAGCGAATGTTATAACAAGGCGAGAATGGCGATGTAGGCAAATAGCGCTGATGGGCGGGACAATGAGTTTGGTGACCGCTCGAGAAGGCACTTCGTCGTCGCCTCCGTTTTTGACTGTGCCTTACTAGGGCGTTCGACATCTGGGCGGATCTCACATAGACTGAATTCCATCGAACAGCAAACATGCGTAACTGCGATTACTTTCATGATCTCCACAGTTGGGTGGCTTGCCATTGAGGTACTGCGACTACGAATCAGTCTAAAAATT